CTGGGCGGGAGGCGGGCTGGGCTCGCTGCTGGGCTCCCGGCCCCGGGAAGCAGAGGGCCCGGGCCGTCCCCAGGCTGCCCTCCCCTGTCGGCCTTGCTCCTCTTGGTCACAACATTAAACTTGGCTCTGCAGACACGCCAGACCCCGGCGGAGCCTCTCCTCCACCCCGTGGGCTGGAGGCCGGGGAAGGAAGAGGCAGAGGGCCACCAGCCCTGATGGGCACGGGGCCGACAGACCCCACACGTGGGCGTGGCCACGATGCCCCGGCGTGGGCTGAGATGCCAGACTGCGCCTGAAATCAGTCTTTAAATTCAATTTTAAACACTCTCATTTGTAAAAAATAAGAAAGGTGTTCATTCTTGCACAAGTAAGCAGAAGGAACACAAAATTACCCATCATGCCCCGGTTGGAGGTTATCATTTCTACACACTGGTGCTACCTCCGTGTGTGTGTGTGTGTGTGTGTGTGTGTGTGATCATGTTCTACATGTTGCTTTGTAACTTAGTATTAAAAACTAGCGTATGGCCTGGCCAGTGTGGCTCAGGGGTTGAGCATCGACCTACGACCGAGGAGGTCAGGGTTTGATTCCTGATCAAGGGCACTTGCAGGCTTGATCCCCAGTGGGGGGCGTGCAGGAGGCAGCCGATCCATGATTCTCTCTCATCATGGATGTCTCTCTCTCTCCCTCTCCCTCCTCCCTGAAATCAATAAAAAAATGTATTTTTTAAAAAGTCATAGCAGCTTTGGTTTCTAGTGTTGGCCACCGAATTCGGGGCTGCCCGGGCCCCTCCCTCCCTCTCTCCCTCCCTCCCTCCCTTCCTGGAGATGCGGGCCCTGCCTGGGCAGAGGGAGCCGCCCGGTGGCCAGGGAGCTGGCTGAGGGTCCGCCCAGCTAGCAGAGCACAGTGTCCCGCTGCCTGGGGGCCTCGGCCGCTCGGGCTACGGAGGAATGACTACCGGCCACCAGGCACTCGGTACCTACTCGTCCCCACCTGGGTCAGCCAGATGCTCGGAGCTGCTGCCCGGGACCCGCCGCTCAGTCACTCGTTGGACAGGCACGTGGGCGCCGCACGGTGGTGCTGCAGGTGCCTCTGGGCGGAGGGCGTGGGGTCCCTCTTACCTCGCTCACGGCTTTCCGGAGCATGCGGGTCTCCTCTGCCTGGGCCCCTGACTGGGCCTCGAACAGGGCGATCTGTTCCTCTAGCTCATGGGCCCGGGTGGTGAGCTGGTCCACGTGCAGGTCCTGGGAAACGAGAACCCTGGCGGCTCTCAGGCACAGCCCCCCGCCCCCTGACCCGAGGGGGTGACCCCAAGGCTGGCAAAGGCCTCTCGGGGCTGCCGGCGCCCCAGGACACCGGGAGGTGGGGGAGAGCCTGGGCCGGGACGCGGGTACCTGCTGCTTCTTGTCCCGCTCGGCCCGCACCCGCTCCGCCTCCGACTTCTTCACGATCTGCTTCATCACGTGGATGTCGTCCCGCGTGTCCTGGTCGATGTTCTGCATGTAGAACAGGTTCAGGGCCAGGTTCTCCATCTCGGTCTGCAGCGCCGCCACTGCAGGGGGAGAGGCCCGGCCGCACATCACCCGCTGCCCTGCCCTCCGCCTTCCGCCCTACGCCCGCTCCGCCCTTGGCTATCCTACGGGCACGCTCATCTCCTACTGATTGGCTTCTAACAGCCCTTTGTGGACGAGCAGGCAGCGTGGGCAGAATTTGTAAGTGGCTCCCACACCTCCGGCCCGGTGTTACCCCTGTGGCATGGCCCTCGGGTGGCAGAAGGGAATGATCGGTGGGCCCAGCGGCAGGGAGAGCAGGCACCGCAGGGCCGAGCAGGAGAGGGCGGCGGTGCAGGGAGCCCCTTGGCTCTGGCCCAGACAGGCGGGGGAGCCCGGCTGTTCCCCACACGGTTCCCACCGCAGCCGCAGGCGCACAGGGCAGGTCCCGAGGGCCTTCCCAGGGGCCATCGCGGGGCATGGAGAAGGGGCGCCCTCCAGGAGACCCACCTTTAGGAAAAGGGGGCACAAATGTCTGGAAAGGCAGCTGCCTACCAGGACCCAGCAAGCTCGGCAGCTCCCACGTGGGCGCACAGGGGCCAAGGGGAGGAGGGGCTGCGCTGAGGGCTCGGGACACGATGGCACACGGAGACGCCCTCGGGCTGCGGGGACCGGGCTCTTACACTTCCTGCGCTCGGCGTTGGCGGCCTCGCAGGTGCGGGTGTAGAGCAGGCGCATGCGCTGCAGCTCCTCCTCCGTCTGCTGCCGGGCACACGTGGCCAGGGAGTAGCGGTCGTGGCTCTTCTCCAGCTGCACCTGCAGGGCCGCCATGTGCTGCTGCACCCCGTACAGGTCCACGCCCAGCTCCTGCCGCTGCGTTTGGCTTTGCTTGGAAGCCACGCCCTGTGGCCCGAGAGAAGGCGGGTCAGGGGGACTGGTGGGGATGGGGGGGATGGGGGCACACAGCCAGGGGGG